AATGAAAGCATACAACGAATAGAGACATCACCACACTGGAGGGAGTTTACTTTGGCCAGAGACAAAACCCCTCTAGAGGGTACCTGGCGGCCACCGCCCTCATAACAGAGAAAACAGAGTGAAAGATGATTTTCAGAAAAACAGATTCGAATTTAACAAGGTACTATATGACTGTGATCCAAACTGTATGCATGTGCAAGAGCGCAGTGCTTGAGTAATAAAACGGAGCAAAAATGGAGATGTTGCAACAATTTCAGGGAACATTCTTTGTGCCAAGAACATAACAAAGAGGAAGAAAAGGGAAAACTGGGGGAATACTTGCGAAAAAGAGAGAACAGAGATTAAACACAGATTGCCAACAAAATAACAAAGCAAATTAATAATTATCCTCTGCAACACTCCTCATAGCAAAGAACAGACGTGGAAGGCACAAGGCAGAGAGAGAGAGAGAGAGACAGAGAGAGAGACAGAGAGAGAGACTTCAAATCCTCTAAAAATAATATATATATATATATTGTCACATAACTATGAACTAAAAGAACGCACTTTGCGAAACAAAGGGCAAAAATAGCAAATTAAAAAACAAGACAAACATGAAGGGCACACTGAAACCATTCATTTTTCTCATTCTTCTTTAACTCCCCCTTCACCGTGCCTCTCACATACAAGGCTCGCCACGTTGATGAATTTGAGCGCGAGCTGCCCCCATCCCCGTGTGTGTATATATATATATATATATATATATAGAGAGAGAGAGAGAGAGAGAGAGACAGAGGCTTCAAATCCTCCAAGCCTCTGTGTGTGTGTGTGTGTGTGTGTGTGTGTGTGTGCAGCTGTCTGCTACTGTCCCTGCCAGTACTTGCCAATCTGTTGGTTGAGGTCTGTGTGTGTGACTTGTCCGTGACTGCCTGTGTTAGAAGCTGTCTGTCTGTCTGCGGGCAGCGGAACGTTTGTCTGCCTGTAGCTAGCTCCGTCTCTCTGCCCTTCCCCTGTCTGTCTGTCCCCCTGCCTCTCCATAGCTGTCTGTTTCCTTATCTTCCCATCTGTAGTTTGCTTGTCCGTCTATCTTCACCTCTCTGCCCACAAAAACGTAAAGACTCTAAAGAGGCACTGCCTAGGTTGGGTTCATGGACAGGAACCCAACCTACCCAATTGGAGAAGTACTCGGTGTCCATCCATCGTCCAAATGCTTAGTGGCCATACCCTCAGCTCAATGCAATTGAAAGGCACTTAATCACCGAATACAGCAGATTTCCCCAGGAACTTCAAGACATTTAAAACACTGCGGAGTACAAAGCTGGCCACACTGATGCGCGTGTGTAAACTGTCACCACAACCACACCATGCATTTATGTATGTGTAAGGCTGACCACATCGATGCGTGTTTTCAAAACCCCACTCTCTCTCTCTCTCTCTTTCTCTCCACACAAATCGTCACAAACCGTCCATAAAACCAAAGAAAAGGTATAGATACTATAGAATCTATAGATAGGCAATATAGTAGAAGATGCTAAGGTTGGCCATGTTTGTGTGTGCATGCATGCATGTGTGCAAGGCTGGCCACGTTGCTGTGCATGTGGGCGCATGCCTCGATGTGTGTGTTGGTGTGTTCACTATACACAAATCCACAACCCCATTTCCACCCAGATTAGTACTATGCGTGCCTCTGTGCGTGTGCGTGTGCGTGTGTTGAAGAGGCCACAAGAGGGAAAACGAAAGAAGGGATAGCTTGTCACAAAAAAACAAAAAAAAAAACAGAAAGAGAGCGACAGTTTGTCACCGACAACAAAAAATGAAAGAGAGGGGAACGGACAGCAGCTTGCAGGGAAACAAAGGGCAAAAAAAGGGAGGCCGCACACTGCCGCTCATCGAGAATGCTTTTGTCCTCTTCCAGGCTGCATTGCCTCGTATCAGAAAGAGGAAAGAGGGGAGAGTATGGGAAGAAAGAACGGTCGATGTGTCCTTTTGCGCTCTGTCTAATGGGTGCCTTCCACGCCGCCCGGCATCATTGACAGTCGTACCAGGGCCGCCTTCTCGCCACCACATTCACTGACAAACATGGTGCACTGCGTCCGATTCCGCGGACCTGACGGCCAATTCTATTTAATAACTCGTAGGGGAATACCCAGGCATTTCTCATACAACTGACCTCAATCGGTTCCCATTCCAGGAAGTCTGTACCCGAGCACTGTGCTGAAAACATGACATGGGATAACCTTCTATAATTCTATTAGCATTAAAAAGTTAAAAAAACTGATAAACTCAGTTATTTATTAGCATGAAAATTGATGAAATCCGTTATCGTGGTACAAACTTATGCTGGATTAGATCCGCATGAAGTTGAGAACACAAAAAATGGATTAGCTCAGAACAGAACCATATCAACCATGTGTGCATGAGCATACGCACACACACACACAGACACACCGGCATACACACACACANTGTGTGTGCTTGTTGGCTGCTGGTGTGATGCAGACAGTGCCTCTGATGTTGGGGTTTTTCGCATATAAGGGAGCTGTGCTGATTCAGACGCTGCAAGACAACAAGGATTTGCTCTTGGAATGGGGTGACGACGAAGACTCTGATGATCAGAAGATTGTTTAAAAAATTGTTTAACTCAAAAGATCCCAGAACGAATGTTCATATTATTTGTTTGCAACTTTTGTATTAATTTTGTCATGTATTATTGTGGAATAATTATGATTTATATCCCTCGTTGTACATATCATTAGTTGATCTCACATAACACAGACATTCATACAGAGAGAAGGAGTCAGTGGGGCATACACACACACAGACACACACCGACATGCACACACACACACACACACACACACACACACACACACACACACACACACACACACACACATGCAAAGATCCTGACACTTTTCACTCACAAAGCAACATGCACTTGAGAGCAATCAGATAAAGAGCACACGAGCTTGAGATATGGCCATGAACAGTGCAAATTCGAAGTTCCACTCAGATACAATAATGAATTATAATATACAATTGGAAACTTTCGGAATTCGGCGGAACCAACTGCTGAAACAACCCCCGACTCAGATCCCGGCTTTCCCCTGTCCGATCTGCTGCTTTTCTCTCTGTTTCTCTCTCTCCCTCTCCTCTCCCTCTCTCTCTCTCTTCTTCTCTTCACTGTTCACCCTCGTTGCTCTCCCTTTCTGTTCTCTCCTCTGTCTACGTCCGAGATCTACCCTGAATACTGCCGCAGCTTTTCTTTCTCAACATCAGGCCGTAATGGCCGCCAAGTCTGCTTCTTCCCCCTTCTGGCTGTGACCGTCTCCTTCAGCCAGGGCGCTGGGCGTCTTCTCCCTTCAGCGCACTTCTTCGTCCAGGTCGCTAGTTCGCACAGCTCCAACAGCGCTCCACAAATTTGCGAAATGAACAACTGCCTGCCGCCTGGTTCTGTAGACCAAAATATATTGTTTTCGTGGGCTGGGCCTGCCTGATTCAATCCGTACCTGCCAAGTTGCTATTTTGGGAAGGATCTCAGCTTTCTTGTGAGGCTGGTGCAAAAACTGCACCTTTGGGGACTGGCGTGATCCTACAGGTACTGCTCCTACAGACCTACGATGCCTACACCTACGGACCCTAACATTTAACTACCGTAGGGCCTGCGGACTGCAATAAATGGGGACTCTGTAACAGGGACTGGTAGGCTTGCCGCGTGAATCCATGTGCGCACATGCACGCGAGAGCACACACACACACACTAGGGAATACAAAACACATGCACACTCACACGCACACACACACACACACACTGCAGCTGAGAACAAAGAAAAGAGAGAGATCAGAAAAGATTATGAATCAAGTATGAATACTATGAATATAGAAAAAGGGATCAAAGAAGGCCTGAGAAAAATCTGCTTAGGATGACATTGTTAACTGCTCACACACTTTATGCGCTCACGCCTAAGATTTGACATGCACCTCGACCCGCGCATACATACCCAGCTGAGCTCCACCAGGAAAGACAAAATAAGTTTAAATAACTGATTATGTTTCTGATACAACAATACCCAGCCTTCAGCACCCACAAGTTGTACTTTTATCAATCTCTAAACCTCCAATCTCATGGAGATTCATGGAGTCAGAAGACACGCACAAACCCCTCCCTCGCTGCTAGATGGTGCACAACATGGGTTATCAATCTCCAAACCTCCAATCTCATGGAGATTCATGGAGTGAGAAGATGCACACAATGTGTGTGCACCATAGGAGGAATAACCACATTGGAACACATGCATAACACATTCCCAATTCTGTACTCTCTCTCTCTCTCTCTCTCTCTCTCTCTCTCTCTCTCATACACACACACACGCACATGCAGTGAATCCAAAACAGGGAATACTGCAAATCTGAAGTATTGCAAATGCTTTTATGAATCCTATTGCTGGTAAAACGTATAGTTCAGTATGCTAGACATCTTACATATGACTTGCCGGAACCTGCAATCCCTCATCTTACAAGGGTCACACTGTACACCATGACGTCCATTACCAGGTCCAGTCAGAAAGCCCTATCCTAAAAACTAGATTTGTCATAAGATCAATTGAAATCTGACGGGAGAGTATAAAATCCCAACTCGTCAGCCGTCAACCATACAGATTCTCAATGGGGCACTACTTTAAAGGTGCTTTTGACCGACAACCCATCCAGACCCTCACATGAACAGGCTGACCCCCCCCCCCCCCCCCCCCCCCCCCCCCCCCCCCTTCCATATCCCCATATGGCATACTACCCCCCAAGGTGGAAACCCTTCCCCTTGCAATATAATTACCCCCTTTAAACCCTCTCCTGAACCACCATCACTCCTTCCTCACTCCCCACAAATTGCCATATGAAATTCACCTTACCTTTCCAGCTGGGCATTGTACTTGTTGTTAAAAAGAAATGCGGCATTATGCGGGTGTAAAAGAAAGGAACGAGCCAGATGATTACCCCTCCCCCGTCGAGATGACCGTAGTTACCTTGCAATCGTCGCTCGCCATCAAAGAAGTACTGTTCAGTCCCTCTTCCGCTTCTTCACCAGCATCGATTTCCATCGGATCACTTCGTGAGCATGGATTCACATCTGTGCATTCTACCTTCTCCTCTTTGCCACCGGCGCTTTCAGCGATGACCACCTCCACTTCGTTCTTCACCGCCACACCAGCATTCCCTCCGTTGATATCACTGGTATCTCCTACCTGGCTCTCCCTTCCAAATTCAGCGCGGTTCACCTCCTTCGGGCCCATTTTCTCTACCTTGCGAGCAGTTCCCGTGGCTTTCCCTTTGTCGCCGGTCTTTCCAGGCAACGTGGTCCTGTCCTTTGTGACCTGTGCTCGCTTCCCTCCTCCCTTGCCCCGGACCTTGGAACCAGCCTGCTGCTCATTTGACGGGACCTGCTGTTGATCAGGGTTCTCTTCAGTGACAGCTTTGTTGCTAGCCCGATCGCTCCCTGCATCTCCACCGTCCATTTCTTCTGTACCTGGCAGTGTTCCACTGTTCCCTCGACTGGACCCCACAGGCTTGGCCTCTGGAGCAGCACCCTCCTCCCTCTCTGCACCTTCGTTGTTGTCACTAGAAACTGACACAAGGCGGCGTGATCTTGACTGCTGCTCCTGCTGTTTTGCCTTCACAGCCTCTCCTTCACCCGAAGGGTCCTTACAATCCACTTTACCGCCCAAATCGCCACCATGTGTTGGTAGGATCTCACGTCCACCTCTGTCGCCAACCTTGCTTGAACCACTGATGGCTTCGCCCGTTGCAGACATCCCTCCTGCAGTTAGTGCAGCTCCTGCTACTCCTCCGCCTTCTGCTCCTGTAGTTGCTGCTGTTGCGGCACTTGTCTCAATGCCTGCTCCTTCTCCTCCTCCCCGCAAAGGTCCTCCCGTCTTTGTGCGTACACCCTTCGTGGTTTCCCCTTCTTCAATCTGAATAACAGCATCCACCTTCACAGCAGTCCCTGCAGCAGGCGTCAGATTGCCGCTGCTGACATCAATCTTTTTGGACGTCTTAGAAGGGCCCATACAGATCACCTCATCATCATCACTCTCGTCTTCCCCACCAAACACGGCCTCAAGCAGTGACACGATCTTTTGCCCAGCAGCACCACCCTCCTCCTTCGATTCTCTTTTTTCGCCGGCCTCGTCTCCCTCCTCTACCTCAACCAGCATGTCATCAGTCGCGAGAACTGGTTCGTCTGTTTCCTGGTTAGCTCCCGCTTCAGCCCGTTGAGAAGTCTCTGTTTCCACAAGAGGGGATTCTTCCTTCGGCTGGCGCGTCTCCTCATCCTGTGAAGGCATCTTCTCCTGCACAGCTAGCTCATTTGCAGCATTCATGAGATTACCCAACTCCTTCTTGATATAGTTAAGATACACTATTTTCCCTGAAGCTCTTTGAAAAGCAGTCCTCTCCATTTCAACTGCTGCTCTGACTGCATCATCCAGATCCGCGTAGGAAGTCCGCCGTACATTTGCCCCTTCGCCGACCAGCACCCGTAAGTGCTGCTCAAGAATCCTATCGAGCTGGTACTGAAAGTCAACGGAACATTCACAGTTTACAGCATACAATATCAGTGTCCGACATGTGCCTGATATATAGGACAAGGCACAGCAGCCCTTAACACACCCAATGGTTTTCAGAACACTGACTGACGCATCGCGCTCTGGTGTTTCTTTTTTCTTTGTCTGGACTCTGACAGCCTGCATCGCTTGCGTAAAAGCGATCACTTCGAAGAACAAGTGATGGAGTATTGTTTTCTACCTTCTTCCCCTTTTTACAACGTACCGTCATTATATCTGTATTTGGTGTATCCTTCAGTCTAAATAAAGCTACAATGACCGTACGTTGTATTCAAGGGAAAAAGGTATTGGCTTTCTTTGACTGACTGACAATTCTTTTAACGGACTGCCAATAGCGCACAATAATCACATACAACCTTGGATACCAGCAAAAATGGCCATTTTTCGCTTGTTGGTTTGCCCGTTTGTTTGTTTGTTTGTTTGTTTGTTTGTTTGTTTGTTTGTTTGTTTGCTTTTCTCAAATGTGGCCACTATTTTACATAGTGAATCAGACCAAGAGCCTCGTTCCACTTTGCGAGCGTGGTTTGTGTCACTGTTCTGTAGACAACAGCATTGACATGCAACAGGGCTGCCCACGTCCAGGTTTGAAATAGGGGGTGGTTCCAGGAGCTACTGTCAGCTACCGCCTGCATGTGCACATGCCCGAGAGCTCACCTGAAAGGAGGGGGGGTGGGGGGGGGGCGTTGAAAAAGAAATGGGCAGAGGTGCAGATCATTGAGCCACACTCACCTCAAGCAGTGATATTGGGTAGGCTCAGGGTTCAAGGTTCACCTTCAAAACCTTGGGGGAAACTCCCTCCAAACTTTCCGAATTTCCATTGCGATCACGCTGTAGGACCCCATGACCCTCGAACCCCACTTAGCCCCCGTTGGAACCCAAATCGAGACCCCAGAGCTCAACGATCCCCAGGCAGGGAAGGAAGGAGCAGGGGGAGGGAGGGAGAGAAGGGAAGGGAAGGGAAGGGGAGGAGAGGGAGGAGGGAGGGAAAGAGCGAGGGGAGGGAGAAAAGGAGAAAGACAGATGTTGAAGTGAAGAAAGCTAAGGGAACACAATGGAACAGAACTACTAACATTTCTTTTCTGTACGCGTGAACGTTCGTGTGTGCAATTGTGTCCATGTGAATGTCCATGCACATGTTCACTCCTGTGCAAACCAAGTGTCTGGGTGTGCATCCGTGCCTGTACACCCGGGCACATGTGTGTGATTTGAATTCTTTGCTAAACACAACTCACCAAAAGACAAGTGACAGTGACTTTTCCGATGGACTTCCACTGATTCATCAGGAGGTCGAGCCCTGACAGCCTGCCCAAGATGCTTTTGACTGATGGATAAGGACTCACCGACTTGCCGTGACAACCCCAGCTTGCCCTCCGATTGATCCGACCCCCACCCTGCAAATCTTTCATCAATGCCCCCCC